CCCCGGGTCTGGGACTTGAACTGCGGTCAACTACATGGAAGTTCAGCGACATAGCCATTACCTTAACTGCTGGTCCCGGTATTTTTTAAAAATTATTTTTTTAGGGGGACCAGCAATTAGCATAATGACTATATCTCTGGACTGCCACGTAGTCGACCGCGGTTCGGGTCCCGGACCTGGTGGCTTAAAACTCATGCCGGGCACATGTGTGTGCGTGCCCAAGATCCCAAGAGGAATACGGAGGAGAAGGGATTGTGGCGTGGCCATCCCCCCTGGGGAGTGATTTCTTGCTTTCTGTCTCTCTGTCTCTCCCTATCTGTCTGGCGAGTGTACACGCCCCATAGCAAAAACCTCTCAAAAAAAAGATTTATTTTAATTTGACCATAAAGCAAGCCACCAGGTCCAGGACAGTGGTCAGCCATGTGGGAGTCCAGTGTCCTTAACCACCATGCCACCTGTGGCCTCCTGGCGTGAGTTTTAAGCAGCAGGGTCTGGAACTCGAACTACAGTTGACTACATGGGAGTCCAGCAATGTAACCATTACACCATCTGCTAGTCCCTCTCCAGTGCATTTTTAGACTGACCCAGGGGTCTGAATCTGAGGTTGGCCATGTGGCTTCTAGCACTGCAATTTAGTTTGCTGTTAACTGTGCCATTGGCCAGGACAATACAAAAGTTCTTAATCCAAGGGTCCATAAACCACCTGAATTCACATGTAGATACACCCCTAAATAGGCTCCATGGCCTCACAGTTAAGGCAGTAGTATCCCACATGGCCAACCATGTAGTCCGAGTACTGACCCAGCAGCTTGAGAAATGCTGAGTGCGTGTGTGTGTTAAGTCTAAAACCCCCCAAAGGAAGGCAAGATGGAGACATGATTGCAGCATGAGCATTCCCTCTGGGAGGTGAGTGGTTTCTCTTCATCTCTTTCTGTCTCTGTCTCTCTCGCTCAGAAGCATACACACTGTCTAGCCAAAAAAAAAAAAAATATTGTGTGGGTGCATGTGTATTTTTCTAGGGATGGAGTTCACATTTTAAGATTTTCAAGGGCATCTGTAACCCACAGAAAGTTATGAATTGCTCTTGTAGATACCAAATGAGGAACCAGGCGGAAAATTAAGCCTAAAATCTCATTCCTTGCTGACTCAGGCTCTCTTTCACCCTTTATTCTTAGAGAGGGCTCAAGATTTGTGGGTGTCAGCTGAAGGGATTGGGCCAACACCCCCTTCCCCACCCCCAGCCCATTTAAGTACTTTGGTTTTTAGCCAGGCAAGGATTTATATACTCTTTGAGTTTTACATAGTATAAATACTTTCTTAGCTTTTTTTCTCTCTGACTCTATATTTTGATCCCCAAGATCACCAAAATTTCCAATCTTAGCTGGGGGAACAGGGGCACCTCCCCTTTCTGCCAGTTTCTGGCTGCCCTAGCAGGGTTTACAGCTCTTGGCTGTTCCCCCCTGCCCTGCAGGCCTCTGCTTGCTACTCCCACCATCACCCATGACTTCAGCGCTGCAGCCTTGCCCAGCCCACTACTCAGGCTGGGCAAAGCTGGAGGCTTCCTCAAAAGCTCCCTGAGTAGAGCTGGGCCCCCGCAGGGGGTGAGGTGAGCAAGCCTGTCAGGGCTTGCCTGCTGCTTTGCACATCTCCCTACTGTGTCTGCCATAGCTCCAGGTACTCAGCTGGCCCTTGGCTCCCAACCCTGAGTCTCTCAGCTGGGAGAGGGCAGTTATCAGTGTTGGGCTTTAACAGTCTCCTGGTCATACTGGCTACACTTCATTCTTTTAGGATAGGTGCCCTGATTTGTAGAGATGTGCTGTAAGGATCACTGTTTAGTGACAAGGGCCCCGACTTCCCAGGCCTGTTTGTCTGGACCCCTTTCTCAGTTTAAAAATTTTTTATTAGAGCATCTGCATGCTTAAGAGAGAGAAAAACCCCTGTGGGGAGTGACCAATCTGAGCAAACATGGTGACCTTTAGACACATGCAGAAACGCATTTATTTTTATGTTTATTTCTAATCCATAGCTCCCCTACTCAGACATACACGTTCTGCTGAGCGAGTCCCAGCAACCCCCAGTAGAGAGGGGCAGAGGTTTTCCTTTTTCTTCCAACCCTCCCCTTCATTACAGTCCTGGGCACGCATGTGAGCCTGACGAGAAACCAGTGGGGCTGAGATTCGAACCCTGGTTGGCTGTGTGGGACTGCCTTCCTCTTCCCAGTACTTACCCACTGTGCCACGTAGTGAGCCCAGGGCCCCTTCTTTTTCTTTTTAAATTTTGCTGAAGAGCACATGCACTCTCCAGAGAGAGACAGAGAAAGAAATAAGGAAAGTCAGAAAGCACCCTCTCCCCTCTTCCAGGGGCAATGACCACACCACAATCCCTTCTCCAGTCTCTTCTCTGCCTGGCATGTTTTTCAGGCTGCTAGATGTAGGACTTGAGCTGCTCAGCTGGCCGTGTGGGATCCAGCCACCTGAACCACCATGCTACCAGCTGGCTCCAGGACCCCTTCTTTATGGACCAAAAGCAGTTGATATTACTTGTGTATCAGATACTTCTAGGGGCTGGGGTTGGGGGTTTGAGTCTGACAGGAGAACCACGGAGGGGGAAATAAACGTAAACTTAATTTCTTGCTGACTCGGCTTTTTTTTTTTTTTGGTGGGGGGGGTTTTTTTTTTTGGGGGGGGGGGAGTTTGCTATAGGGCGCGTGCACTCGCCACATAGAGACAGAGAGATAGAAAGCGAGAAATCACCCCCCAGGGGGGATGGCCATGCCGCAATCCCTTCTCCATTCTCCTCTCGGGATCTTGGGCACGCACACACACATGTGCCCACTGACTCAGGTTTTCTTCCACCACCACCACCACCCCACCGCACCCCCACCCCGGCTGTGAGGAATGCCCAGGAAGTGTAGGTGGCAGCTGCAGCAGTATAAATGGCACTTGCATACCCTGGCTCTGAAAAGTCTCAGCTTCCAGTTAGCTGCTTCTCAGAGGCCTTGGGCCCCAAGGAGCTGAGTGTCTGACTGCCCATCTCTCCCTTTCCAGAGTTCCATGGACTGGATGAGGCAACCCTACTGCGGGCTCTGCAGGCCCTACAGCAGGAGCACAAGGCTGAGATCATCACCATCAGTGATGGCCGAGGTGTCAAGTTCTTCTAGCAGAGACCTGTGTCCGTTCACGTCTTACCTCCCACCTTTCTAGGGCTTTCAAAAGGAGACAGATCCAGTGTCCCTATAGACAGGATCTGGGACTCCACCAGACTCAAAAGGGCTCCAGTCGTGAAAGCAGTTGTGAAGGCTGGGACCCAGGGATGGTTTCTCCCTTACCCCATACATCTATCCCTGGGATAGGATGAGACGGAGGCTCCAGGGAGAAAAGATGTGCTTCTTGCCCTACCTCCTCTTCCATCCTAGGCTGTCCCTGAGCCAGGGTCTGTAAACCTAACACTTTACATGTGTTCACACACGTAAGTATGTACACACATGCGCCTGCACAAGCTTCTGTCTCCTCCCCCGCCTATCCCCTGAGCTGCTGTTGCCACCCTTCTCAGGCTGGTGCTGGATCCTTTCTAGGGGGGGGGGAGTCCCGGCTGCAGGCAGCCTTCCAGGCACTATAAAGATAGGAGGCCGGGGAGTGGGCCTGGCAGTGAGAGGCGGGCCCCTACACTGATTTATGATTAAAATCTCAACTCCCACTGAGCCTGCCTCTTAAGTTACTACTGGAATGGGACTGGGGAGTGCTGTGAAGTGTTAGCACCTGAGCAATCCCAGCCAGGGAGGGGGAAATGATGGCCTCTGGAAATAAAAGGGCCCTGGCTCCAGGCTCCCCCATGGCCTGCGGGCGCCAGGGATCCTGTGACTTGACATCTGCTGGTGGGCTGTGTGGAGGAGTGCTGATGGAACGCAGCTTGGGGACAGACTGCTTTCTCTGGTTGGAGTCACTGGTTGGTTCCCCCTTCCCTCACTTCTCCCATGTAGGTCCTCAACTACTCTGAAGCCCCTCCCTCCCCCATCTGGTTTGGGTGGGGTAGCTGTGGCTGAGGGGGGTAAAGCGGATGTGGACTTTGGTTTATTGGCGACTTTGGCAAACAGAAGGGGGAGGAAGGAGAGCCCACAGAGCAAAAACAGTCACGGTGCCCAGGGCCAGGCTGCAGCCAAGGTGCTGTGGAAGAGATGGATGGGTGACAGGGCTCTCGGTTTGGGGAAAGGGCTTGTCCTGAGGTGCACACACCCTCCTCTGGGCAGAACAGAGGACCTACAAGCATCTCGAGAAAGCCAGACCTTTCTGATGACCTCTGTATGTTGACCTCTGTATGTTTGGCCTGGGGCTGCTCTGGACGATTGGGGGTAGCGCTGCCTTATCTGGGGTGTGCAGGCGGATGGTAGCCTCCCCTGTCCCACCCCCCCACTTGGGCCTGGGAAGCTCCTGTCACGTTTCCGCTCCTAGTCCCAGCGTCGTCGTCCTCCAACCCCCACCCCCCACCCCGTACAAACAGGTTTGTGCACTCAGCACGGGAGGACACGCACTCCGCCTCGCACTCAGCTCTTACCTTTGGAGACCAAAGGCGGGGGCGCAGGGAGACTGGGGAGGGGAGGTGGGCAGGGCGGGGCTGAGGTAAGG